CGGAGGGTGGGATGGGTGAAATGGTGGAGATAAATCTAAAGCTGAGTAACGATGAGCGTGGCTGGTGGAGAGGTCGAGGGCGAGAGGCCGTCTCGCTTGCTGCCACCACGATTACACCTTACCTTCCCCTTGTTTCCCTACGTACGCACAACTTTCCAGATACCTCACCAGCACAAGGACGCGCTTTCGGGAGAGATAATGAGAAAACACAAATTTGGGGATATTTGAAGTGCCGCCGGGGCTCCCCGCGCTCATCGGATGAATTGGTCGAAAACGTCGTCGGTCCATATTGGGGTGACGTGGTCATTTCGTCGAAAACAAAGAAACCTTCAACGATATCACCGTCCACGACCTCATGAGTACTCGCAAAGGGCACGCGAAGCGACCGCGCTCAAGTTTTTCACAGGACGTTCTAAATGAGATTGAGTGAGTTGAACATTCCTTTTTATACACCAGCCAGTTCAATGATAGCTGACCTCAATGTCGAAGAGAACATCATATAGCCGGTTCCTTGGCACCCTCAACGTACGCTTCTGCTGCTTGCTCGCATAGACGAATTTGACATGTGCATCTTCCAGCAGTGTTGCTGGGCCTCCTCGCCGACTAGCCCCTCATGAACAGCCCTCTAAAGGGTTCTTGCACGATCTTACAACGATGAGATGGATGGTCAGACCTTGTAAATTCTCCCTTTGGCGCTTTTCCTTGGTTGTTGACCCTCCTTGACAGCGTCCTCCTTCAAGATCCTTATCGCCCCCATTGTACTATATCTGAGCTGGCAATTGGTCGGTTTTACGCACAATAATCCCTGGGAACGACTCTTGTTCGTCTCTAATCGGTTGCCGGATGCCCCGGATGGCACACCACTCTATGCCAAAAGTTATTGGGTGAGTGCAAATCGGCAGTCTCGTTATAGTACTAACCTTGAATCCTGGTCACCCTGGTAATTTCAGGACTTGGCTTTTATCGCTTATTATGTGGTCGTCTTTTCCTTCATTCGACAGTCCATCACGGAATACCTTTTGAAACCTTTCGCTCGGCTTCACAAGGCTCGCAAGCTCGATAGATTCGCTGAACAGGGATACGCGGTCATCTATTCTAGTGTCTCCGGACCATTTGGCCTTGTGGGTACGACAATGATGTCCGAAACGCCTACTCACATTTACCAGTGGACCATGTACAAGTATCTTCCAACCTGGTACTATCGTACTGAATATTTCTGGATAAGTGAGAATGATTTTCAAAACGTAATGGCATATCCTGATATTGTATAGATTATCCTCACTGGGAAATGGCCGGTAGCCTCAAACCTTACTATTTGATACAAGCAGCATATTGGTGCCATCAATTTTTACTCCTCGTTCTCAGAATGGAGAAACCGAGGAGCGACTTTGCCGAACTAGTCGCGCACCACTTTGTCACTCTCTGGCTGATAGGGTGGAGTTACCTTATCAACCTGACGCTCATTGGCAATGCAGTTTATATGACCATGGATTTCTCTGATATATTCTTGTCTGTAAGTGACGCCAATCGTCTTCCGTACAAGGACAGGAGCCCTAATGCTCTGGTATCTAGTTGGCTTTATGCCTCAATTACCTGAAGATGGAGAAAACGAAAGCTGTCGCTTTTGCTTGGTTCGCTGGTGTGTGGACGTGAGTATATGATCTTAGAGTGGGAACTTGTGACATTAATCATTCTATAGGTACACTCGCCACTACCTCAACTTGGTGATGCTATGGTCGATTTGGACGGAGTTTGACTTGATTCCGTAAGTCGTTAAATCCACTATCAATGGAAAATTAACTCAAGGGTACGTTCATTAGGGAAACTTCCAAACAGTGGAACCCTCAAAACGGCGCGTGGCTCGCACCATGGTACGAGTCGTTTTGAGTGATGCTATCTTCAATTTTACTAACAAGGTTCTTCAGGGTGAAGTATCAGATCTTTATTCCGCTCACCTTCTTGCAACTGCTCAACCTCTTCTGGTATTTCCTGATCTGGAGGATTATGCTTCGGTACGTTCCACATAAATTCTATGAATCGACTTAGCTAACTGAATCATGTGCAGAGCAATCTTCAGCTCCAAATTAGACGATGAAAGGTCGGACAACGAGGATGAGTTGGCAGAGCCAAAGAAGAAAAAAGCTGAATAACAAGGGCATTGGATGGTATCAATACATTGGTATTGTCCGGAAATAGAATAGAAAATACACGATAGAGTGACTAGTTCCATACATACTCAAGGAACTTCATTCCTCAAGAGGGAAGTATGAATGTTATTCACAATGTCCCAGCAGAAAGACGAGATTGACCCATTAAGGATTGCGTTACCAAATCATAGGAGTGGTTTTCTCAAGTCATTTCGCCTTGAAGGATGTCACTTTGTGCGTTTTTGTGGACGATGTTGACCATCGTCGTCGCTTTCACGACCTCTCTTCCTCCCCGCCACATCCCCATCTGTCTCAGAATCTGACTGTATTGGCATATCCTCGAAACTGATACCCATTGCCCTACTACCGTAGGGAATTTTCCTTGCTCTGATAGTGATTGCTTCCATGATCTGTCTCGCTACAACTTCGGCCAACTTTGGCGGAACCGCATTCCCAACCTGGACAAGTGTCAAACTTGTCTCCTTTCAATATACAACCCATTCACCTGTTTATACTGGGCATTTTGAGAGCCCCTAAATCCATAATTGGTCTACAAATGGTCAGCAAACTGGATCTGAACCACAATGGCCGGGCTACCCACGGGGAAAGAGGACAACGTGGCCAATTCGCGTACTGTGTAAAGACGATTTGGATAGCCTGATGAAAAGTAAGTTTCATGTTAGGGAACTAAATATAATCGCTAACTTGGGTGACGACATGCCCAACGGTCGCTGGTAGAAGTTCGAATCGCTGTCTTATAGTTAGTAATCTCCGATTAAGTATATGGTCAAATCAGCCCAAACTTACTACAAATCGGTTTGTCTATGTCTCCAATAGTATTTGGTCCCCAGGACAACACACTTCTACGAGAACAAAAGCAATGATTTTGAAGGTCGGGTATCGCAGGATGTGCATAATCGCCATGGGTTTGTAGCTGTCTACAGCGAGCACTCACATGAGGGTAATTCTGCTCACTGAGGGCATCCCGTATGGTAACTAGAGGTAGAAGACCATCATCGGTACCATGGGTCCATTCTGGCCAGTTCGGAGTAACTTCATCGGGAGCAGTGGCGATAAGTATGAATCGTTCTCGCGAAGTGGGTATCCCGTAATTCTGGCAATTAAGAAGTTTTGATTGTATTGTATATCCAAGAGCTGTAATCTCGTATTCCATTTTCCTGATGGTCAAGTCATTCCGTTCCATATCGCAGTCGATTTGATGGTCCGCTTGCTCGTTAACCTTCTCATTCGCCTTTTTGCCTTTTTTATGCCGTC